TGGCTTAGTACTGCCATCTCAGTTCCAGAATACTAGCTTGCACCATCTCAGTTCCAGTATACCAAGCAAGACTAGTACTAGTATCCTATGCTGGACACATACTCATTTTGGGGGGTTTGGGACAGAAAATTGATCAATTTAGAGACTAACTCCCTCAATTTTAATAAAATCTAACCTCTAAACTTTAGTAATTTAGGCGTTAACTCCTAAGTAATAATGAAATTGATGACATATTTGCAGTTGCATCAGCATCTGAGAGCTTAAAACACCCCAAATATGGAAAATATGTCTAACCTCTAACTTTAGCGATTTAGACAAATAATTTCCAATTAACAATGAAATTAACGACATATTTGCATTTACGGCGGCATAAAGTTAGCTTAAACTGTCTCAAAATATCTTATGCAAAATAGTCTAACTGCTGTCCTTGATTTTCTTCACAATCGGGAGTGGTACCACAGCCAACAAAAGCAGAAAATGAAGCATATAGAGAGAAGGCATGATTTCGAATGATAAAAAACGTTAACAAACGTTAGAAAACGGATGATGATGCCTCAATGGCGGAAGGTTTCCCCATTTGGTCATGCAATGACGACGTGAATGTGAAGTCGTCGTCATCCCAATTGGCCATGTGAATAATTATTTTTGCCATAGCGAATATTTTTATTGACGCGTATAGACATACTGTGAAGAGAATGCTAAAGTACACAAGTTTCTTTTTTAGATTAATTCCATAGACTGATATTAAAAAAGGGTTACCAACTCATCCAACTCATAGGTGGCCGGGTTTATAATCTCAAGGCATATGGTGATATGATAAGTAGCGGCGATACATCCGAAGGTGAGGGATCACCGCAGAAAATTGTAATCAGTTATGGCTTTTGCGACTAGCAATAACAATGTTCGCCCGAATTGCCTTATGAGGCACATACTCTAAGCATAGTATCAAGTGCTTGATGTTTTACCAGAAACTTTCCATATTATATTTTAGTGATTTACATTCATTATGCTCACTAGATAATGTACAATTATATCAGAGAATGTTGACTTTCGCTAACAATCGTCAGGAAAGAGCTAACCTTGCCAACAAACCGTAGAAAGAACGGATCGCTGCAGGTCGAAGTTAGCCTCTCTACTTACATCTCTATCACTATCTCTGCCCTGATGATTATATATTTTACAAAAATCTCGACATTCATTAGTAATAATTTCGTCAAACGTTAATCTTGTCCAGGCCAAGCTGGTCGTGTCGATCCGTCAAATTCACCATAAAATCTATTACTCTCTACTACTTTATGATTGACACCTCCTATGACAGCGCCGCACTCTGGACATTTGGAAATCTGAGTGGCCCCACCGCAATCACCTGTGCGATAGAAATCAAACGTAATTTAAATATCCATCAGCAACTTATTTATATCATAAACAAGTCGGTCCATAAGATTATAGACAACATACCTATATAGTAAGGGTGTTGCTTCGGACATACAAACCAACGCCCGCCAACCATACCAAACTCCCCAGTTGAGCTCTCGGAATTCATTGCTTCAATCACTTGCTGCCGTTCTTCATCTGTCAGCTGAGTAAACCTTTTACAGTGTTGGGTCTTTATCTGATTCCAAAGTTGTATTTCGCTTTTGATATATTGATTATATCGAGACGCGGTAAATATCGGAGCCTGGCATTTGGGACATTCCCACAGTTTAATAGCGACGTGATTCTCTGGCAAGCAATTATGACACTGTTAATACGATTTCATAGTGATAATGTTATCGACATCAATTATTCTTACCGGTCTTGGCAGGATTCTGGAAGTACAGGTCGAGAGCCTCCACCGAGAATACTAAAATACAAGGAAAGAAGTTTAGACACAATAGACCAAGCAAGCAACAAACTGATAACCGATTATTACTTACCACAACCACATTCAGGCAATACATATACACGTTCGTCTTCACTAAAATCTCCAAGCTCTCTTAAAGTAATTGAACAAGACGACGATGGATGACATTTTTTGCAAGGGGGGCATTTTTCTCCACAGAGACCGCAGCAGTTATGACTATCGATAGTATTAATCGTTTAGCATAATCCTCATCAATTACAACATGAAACTAAAGATTAACATATTTACCCGCAAGAAAGCTTTTTAGGACAAGGTTCATCGCATGCAGGACGATCGCACGCTTCCCGACACAGTTTAGTACACGTGAAATGCGGACAATTCCAATCACATGCCTCCGCGCATTCGACGCATGGTTTGTAGCATTCGTAGGGGCAAACCCTGCCATGCATGCACCGATTTCTACAGTCTCGCAGGCATATCGAAGTGTGCATATCAGGTACTTTACATCCATTTTCACAGTGGTGTCCGCAGATAAGCTTTTTCGCACAAGGCGCATCACAGTCCTGTCTGTCATGCCCATGCTCGGTCCCACATCGTTTACGGCACACATGCCCACAAGGAAGTCGACGTTCACATTGTTTGCTACAAACAGGAGTTTTGCCACATTGAATTTCGGTAATATGCCCGCATCCAAGAGATTCAGCAAAGATTGTCTGTGGACATTCTAAGGTTAACAAAAATACTATATCTGTCGTCTGATAGCATTTTATCATAGTAAAATGTCCACATGACATCCTATGAGGAACCATTTGCTGACACTCCCAGGAGGAATGGTTTCCGCTTATATCCCCACATTTGACGCTACATAAATGCCCACAGCTCAATTCTGTTTGAATCTCTTCCATACATGGTGGGCATCCCTCTTGCTGACATTCATAACATTTGTGAGGACATTGATGAGTGCAGCCTTCAGGACGTCGGCGAGAACACTTACGGGTACAGATCCATTGTTCGTCCTTGTGGGCCTCAGGATGACATTTACGCGGACATGCGTGCCCACAAAGGAGACAGATTTCGCAGGGAGTCTAGTATAGAAGAATACGGGTTAGCTCAGAGTAATTTTGCACAGTAGAAGCGACCAAACAATAAATAAATAAATTACCGAACATCCACCGTCTGGTGCGTAATCATCAAAATCTTCGGCACATTTCATATACAAATTTAAATCTTTATGTCGTTTGCATGAGGTCTTTATACAATCGCTAACCCGATCTATGTGAAAATACAAAGAGTAGTAAAGTGAAGTTCAGGTAAATGTGTAAACCGACTTTGTACATACATAAACAGTGTACTAGTATTATTCAATAAGACTTACTTTTGCGCTTTAATTTATGCAAAACGTTCTCCCATACTTTGCTTGTTGTCATCATTTTTTCATTCCCAAATATGAACAATCCATGTCTAGCGCGCGATAATGCAAAGTGAGCTCGACTCTCCATGCCAATATATTTCAACGCCTCATTTTGATATTCGACATCAACGGCCACCAAAGATATAATAATAATATCATTGTACTGGCTGCGAAATTCATCAATGCACTGGACTTGAACAAAGTTGCTCTTGTCTGTCTTGCCCTGGCCTGCGTCCATAAAGTATTGGCCTACCATTTTGCTGATTAGTCTCTTTTGACTGACGTATGGTGTCAGGATAGTGATGTTTTGTGATTGATATCCTTGTTGACATAGATACTTTGCAAACCGAGCAACGAATTTTGCCTCAAACTCGTTACAATTAGCAGAAATATTTGCCGATCCATAGTGTATGTTGTCGTGAGAGACAAAACAAAGTCTATCAGCGAGCTCACCTATTCCTCGGAAGGATGTTCGGTGTCGAGGACTCTCTATTCGTTCACGATACAATCCGCTAACCAATTGATATATTTCAGCATGTATCTGTGTTTGTTCTAATAGAACTTTTTGGGCAACATCTTTGATATGTCTTTCAAAGAGCGTCCTACCTAAACCGAGCTCTTTTGCAATTACACTTTTTATCTGAGGCTTGTGATGGTGATGACTATCCCCAACAAGCAGCAATTGTTCCAAGTTATTACTCGTGAGACAAGACATTAACTGGATCTCAGGTATCTCGGAAGCTTCGTCAACTACACAGATACGAGGAGAAAGCATCTCTATAAGTTTACGGCTAGATGTGGCATAGGTAACTGTCATTCCTACCACATTAGCAAATCTGCTTACTTCGGCCCACCTTCCTGCTCTATGGCTCTCCAATTGTTTGTACGCATTATATGCTCTTTCATGAAGGCGTTTGATCAAATCTTCAAAGTGTTGCTCAATCGCGCCTTGATAACATTCCCAAATTTTTTGACGCTGAAAGTAATCTAATGCCCAAACACGTCGTCTATGAGTACTCCAAATGTCAGATATGCTTTTATAAAGACTTTGAGGCAGTTCCGGTTTATAATTCTGGGGTAGTAAATTTTCTTTATGCCAACTCTTGACATGTAAAGTATCTTCTTCGTCTAATTCTGCTAAAAGTCTTTCCGCGTTTACAAATTCCAGTGTCACCGAGTCAAAGTCATAATTGTTGGAATTATAAAGTTGTGATAATCCTTTACGTTCAAGACCCGTCAAAGAATAATGATCCATTGTCCACTTCACACTTGGAATGTGAATTGTCTTGTGACGAGCACCAAGCTTAGGCTTATCGGGGTTGCATTTTGAATCTCTTGTGTCCGTGTCACTCTTCGTGCTAACATTAGGAACTTGCTTATGAACGTTGTTGGCGTTTCTACGAGCTTCGGCCTGTGGTTTTCCAGAGAGCCACTCTTTAATAAGCCCCTTTGGTGCGTCGGCAAATTGATCATTGACAAACGCTGGAGCAAGCTTGATAAATCCTTCATCAGATAGGGCAAATGTTCTATCTCTCCAGTACACCCTGAAAGCCTTTCTTAATTCTTCAAGTTCGGCTTTCAAGTTTCGCAGTTCAGCTCTATGTTGACCATGAAATTCCTTTGCCAACTTATTTATTTGTCGTTTCTTCAATTCGTCATCAGTGCAATCATCGATTGAAGCAAGCCGAATAAAATCCTGACCCAATTCTCTTAATTCAGTTAGAATATTATCGAGGCTATGCGTAGTCCTGGTTATAAGTAATATTGGTTCATGATAATTATTATGCTTAAGGGCTTGAGACATAATGTTAATCGCACGAGCTGCAAAAGTCGAGCGAGACGTACCAATCGGAGCTACAACCATCGAAATTCGATGATTCAATACAGATTTTAAAGCACTAACAAAAGAGCTATCGTATCTGAATATTGTCTCCTCTGTGCCATAATCGAGGCCGGGCCATTGTGAGGTTGCTGAGAAAACCGTGTTGCGCTGTTCATGTCTCATAATAGAAGAAAAATCCAACTTCCTCTTATAAAGATATGAGGGTGGTCCATTGTCCGTTTCCATCCCAAACAGTTTCGCTATCATGGGTTTGTTCTCAAGGGAACATTCGGGAGATTTCAACCAATCTAATAAGGAATTAATGGTAGGATAATGTACAGTAGATTCAGCCATTATGTACGTACTCTGGCTGTCGAGTTTGTCGAATTCCTTGGGTTCAAAACCTAATCCGACAAAGCTTTCAACGTTGTTTGCATTTTTTAAATCACTAATATCAAAGTCCTTAACGACAGCCCATATCAGACTGGATGGATCTATTTCCAGATATTCATCATTCCCATCATCAAGAGATGAGACTTTAAATAAAATAACAAATGTACCATAAATGAGATGCTGCCCGAGATCCCAGTCAATAAGACGACATGGTTTAAAAGCCACGCGCACCAACGGTTGATATGATCGCTCCATGTAAGTATTGACAACTCGCACATTATCATAAAAGACATGCTCCGATAATGTGGAAGAACTTGGCAGAAGGGATGCACGTATCTCATAATTGATCCATGTTAAAAGTGATTTTTGGAGTGGTTCAAGTAGCTCTTTGCAAAGTAGAGAATAATAAGTATCCTTGTAAGCGATAAACTTTCTAGGTTCCAGGCTTCGAAAAAGGTTGGCGCGAAAAACATTATCCTTGTTGCAAAGAGCAGCGACATCGAAGAGCTCTGCAACATCGGGTACAATGGGTTTTTTAATACGCGCAGTATACGATTCATTGTTGGCAGTCCTGCGTTTGTCATCTTCTATACGTAAACTCTGATCGGCTGGTTGGTAAACTGTCCTCTGAAGACTGTCAATCCTGGAAAAAAATGCCGAAATCTCGTGCCACTCTTCGTCACTTATCGACCAATTTGCTCTCTTTAGAATCATTTCCATCTCTGTTACCGGTATGACTGTGGAATACTTTGGTATTAGTTGACAAATAGCATCAAAAAGACGTAACATTGGCATAAATAATTCGAACGACCGAACGTGTTCCAACAAGTATCTAATAGTTTTAACAAAAAACGGCGGCTGGTTTGTTAATATTACAACAATGTCACGAAACCTTCCATTCGCATTCGACACATGTGGTGAAGCAAGCATTTCTATCGCCAACTCCATTGATTGATGGGAAAACGTCGAAAGGGATTGAGATGAGAATAAATTAATTCTTTGGTTATGCAGTGCATAAAGCCAATCATGGGGTTCTCTGCGATGAAGAGTGCGTAGATTGGTCAGAGCAGTTTCTTTTGATTTTCCGTTGTGGTACTGTGCTGATTTTTGTTTTCTGGAACCGGGATTTCTGATTGCATCACGTTCTTCACCCATCCTACGTCTGATATCTTGTATAACACTTTCTTCAGTATCATGTATAATAGGATCACCGACATCGCGCCAAAGTAAATCATTTTCGCATCTCGGCGTCACATCTGTATAAACGCGTACACTTGATTGGAGTCGCGATGAACGTCCGAAATTTTCATCGTTCATGGGCTGTGGTATATATAATTCGCCAAAGACACGCAGTCGTCCAGTGAATGGTCGATTGTCTTGACGATTCCATCTGACGGAATGTTGATTTCCTGATTGACGTGAAGGAGACCTGTTGTTCTCCCCAAATGCTCTGTCCCTTTGTCTTCTTGTCTGCTGCACGTCTCGTGGATATGAATTCATTCTTCGACGATGCTGATTGTTTTCGTTATAGTTCATTCGAGATTGTCCGTACGGCTGCCTACCGTAATTTCTGTTGTGATTGTTGTTAAAAGAAGTTCGTTCGCCAGACGGATATGTATTTTGTCTGAACGGCAAGTGTCTGTGAGAACGATTATGACCGTTATCATGCCATGTATCTGAGCCTTCTTCGCTATCATCATTGTCCATGCTATTTTGGTCCCATGTTACGGAATATTGAGGATTCATGATGGCACTCGGTGTGCCTTTTCCGGTAAACTGATCTTTATCAACCCAATCCATTGGTACGTCAACACGATTCCCCCACATTTGGGAAGCAACCTTCTCTAAATTTTCGAAATTCAGCTGCGATATTTCGTCGTTTGTTTTAAAAATTCTGGGGCAGTCTGCCGTAATCGTCTCTTCGTTTGCTGTTGTCACAGGAATGACAGGGAGGGGTGGCTCAAAGTTAATGCCTACGTAAGATCTATTGACACCAGTTTCTTCGACCACGTCGTTGTCACTGTCCTGTTGTATGCTAGGAGTTGCGCGTACAGGCAGTACGGAGATAATGTCGTTTGTAACGTCTTTCATATTAGGATTTAGTAGGTGAAGGATTTAATATAAATATTGACAGGAGAATTCGTATTGCTAGGAATAATAAGGCAAGGGCGTTATCGATCAACTATACTATCGGGAAAGATAAAAATATGACTTAAATAGTCTGTTGCGTGACACTCGCAGGTGACTTCGCTTAATCGTGTGTACCTGTAATGTGACAAACTAGTCAAATACATCGTTTCACATACAACTTAAATGCAAAGCTAAGTCAAGTGGAGAGTGACGTTTTATTTATTTCGAACTTTCTATTGGGTGAATAATCATATGTACAGTCCCCAAAAAACCCCCGGAAAAAGACAATACTGTTTGTTGGTTGTATGAATGGATAAAGAGTTAACTGCAGGCAAAACTATGGTTGCTCAAAGAGAGAGATATATATATATATATATGATAAGGCTACGAAAATGTATTTATATATAATTTACAATAGAGCTTGAACGAATACCCGAGCATAGCAATTGGCAAAATACCTGGGTAACCATCAAGCAGAGGATACGTTACAAGTTGGGATAAATTGCAAAACGCTATGCGATGATGGTATTGCCGCCAAAATTCAACTCCTGAGGATTTTACGATTATGATGAGCTATTTCTGTTTAGTCTTTAGGATTCATAGTCGCGGTAGGTGATTGTGTCAGTTCCGACGTGTTTACTTCATTATCATCTTCGCTGATACCAGATGAATGCACTCGACTACCGCTTGGAGATGTCCATCGATCTCCAAACCATTTACTAATAAAGTTAGTCAGCCGCGTTGGAGTTTCGTATACCTTTTTTCGTTTGTGCTGATCTTCGTCTTCGGCATTCAGTGGCTATATAAATGTATATAATATGTATGCATATGTACGTATGAATATATGTATGTGCGTGCTTGTACCGGTATATGCAAAACAGCGTGAGCCTTTTGTATGCTTGGCTTGTTTCTCTGAACGACATACATACCTCAGAAGTCGAATCAATTTCGCTCAACTTTCGTTTCTTGGGTGTCTCGGCGGGACTTCCTTCCCTTAGATTAGAATATTCTCTATTAAACAGATTAACACTATTATATGATGTAGTACTATCCATACTATCCCTTCGCTCGGTATTACGGGACAATTCTGCTCGTTCTATACTCTTTACACGAACTTTCAGGTCCCTATGTCAACAGAATATAGAATATAATTATTATTTTTATGCTCTTTCGTTTCAAAATAATCACAAAACATCCCATTGTTGTGACCTTACCGTAAAAATAAGAGATTACGCGAATCCAACTCGCAAAACTTATTAGCAACCGTTTGATAAAATTCTGTATTCCCAATAACTTCTTTTCCTGATCGTATATATGCTATCCTTGTCTCCCTGTACAAAATCTTCAATTGCTTCCAATGAATGTCAGTCCATGCCCTCGAACTCGTCGGCGAACTACGACCAACACTCGGCGTAGGACTAGAACTAGCACTAGCACTACGATCGAAAGGATAATTAAAGGATGGAGTTGGCGACCGAGGAATTATTCGGTATCGGTTGGGACTACGTGCTCTATCGCTCGATGGCGTCGAAGGACTGACAACCGGAGTCGTACTTCCAAGCAAATCGTAATTAGTGGATGCCAAGGCCTTTACTGCATTTTCAAGAGCTATAGGATTCTCCGCAATCAGTTCGACCACATCCGAAGGTAAGCTTGGTGACAAACTTCGCTTGAGGTGTAATTCTCCTGTGCGGCCCCCTCTACCTCGGCCTCCTCGAGTACGATTTCCGCCTCTTCCCCTACCACGTGGACTGCGTATCGACTTCAATTCAATACTACTATTTTCACTATCACTGTCAACCCTTTGGAAGCGATTCTGTCGATCGGATCGTTCTTCTATTGTTTCAGACGCAGATTTGCTATTAATGTCATGCGAGTCTTCGTCAACTGTATCGTCCTTGGAGATAGTCCCTTCTTCCATCTGCTCTTCCAAAGGCGTATGCTTATTTGATTTACGCAATGAACGAGTCGATGCAGACGTGACCAACGTTCGAGAACGTCTGACAACTGTAGAAGTGCTCTCAACATCAAGAGTTATAGGATTCTCCACAATCAATTCGACCACATCCGGAGGTAAACTCGGAGATAAGCTTCGCTCAACCGGTGATCCTCCTGTACGGCCTCCCCGACCTCGGCCTCTTTGACCACGACTTCCTCGAACGCGTCTTCCCCTACCACGTGGACTGCGTATCGGCTTCAATTCAATACTATTATTACTTTCACTATCACTGTCATCTTCTTGGAAGCTACTATGTTCGTCGGATTTACTATGTTCATCAGATTGTTCTTCCATCGTCTCAGATGCAGATTTGTTATTAACATCATGCGAGTCTTCGTCAACTGTATCTTCCTTAGAAATAGTCCCTTCTTCCACTTGCTCTTCCATAGACGTCAACTTATTTGATCTACTATTAGCACGCCGCGTACGTTTCCCACGAGTTGCCGATGTTCGAGAACGTCTGGCAACTCCAGAAGTGCTCGCAACCCCTCGACTTCCTCGAACACGATTTCCTCGAACACGTCTTCCCCTACCACGTGGACTGCGTACTGGTTTCAATTCAATACCACTACTTTCACTATCACTGCCACCTTCTTGGAAGCTACTATGTTCATCGGATTTACTATGTTCATCAGATTGTTCTTCCATCGTTTCAGACGCAGATTTGTTATTAACGTCATGCGAGTCTTCGTCAACTGTATCTTCCTTAGAAATAGTCCCTTCTTCCACCTGCTCTTCCACAGACGTCAGCTTATTTGATCTACTATTAGCACGCAGCGCACGCTTCCCACGAGTTGCCGATGCTCGAGAACGTCTGGCAACCCTGGAAATGCTCGCACTTCCTCGACTACCTCTAGCGCCTCTTACTCTACCACGTGGACTGCGTACCGACCTCAATTCAATACTACTACTTTCACCATCAGTGTCATCTTCTTGAACGCTATTTCGTTGATCGGATTGTTCTTCTATTGTTTCAGGAGCAGATCTGTCATTAATGTTGTGTGAGTCTTCGTCAACTGTATTTTCCTTAAAAGCAGTCCCTTCTTCCACTTGTTCTTCCAAAGACGTCAGTTCTGTTAATCCTTTATTAGCACGCGGCCTACGCTTCCCACGAGTCGACGCAGATCCTCGTGGACGTTTAACAACCCTAGAAGTACTTGCAACGCTGATACTACGATTTCTTGGCGGACGACGCTTGAGACTCTTTGGAGTTGAAACTTCACGCGATACAACATTGACACTACGACCTCTTCGAGCACGATGTTTTGGAGTTGAAACCTCACGTGATACAACATTGACGCTACGACCTCTTCGAGCACGATGCTTTGGAGTTGAGACTCCACGTGATACAACGTTGACGCTGCGACTTCTTCGAACACGCTTTGGAGTTGAGACTTCACGTGATACAACGTTGATGTTGCGACTTCTTCGCAGACGACGCCTTGGACTTGATATTATTAATTCACGTGATAACGTATTGGTGATGCGGCGTCCGCGGGGACGCTTGGGAGTTGAAATTTGGGGCTCTTCACGCGACACCGTACTTTCAACACTCGCGCTACGACTTCTTTGCGAGGGAGGGTAGGGAGTTGAGATATTTGACTCCCCGCGTGATGCCAAGCTTCCAATACTTGCGCTCCGGCTTCGTTGCGGGGTTGGTCCGTGCGATGTTGTCTTTTTTCTTTTCCTCCGTGTCGAGAATAATACTTCGCGATACTGTGGATAACTGTTTATGAATATCAATTATTAATACCATTATTTACCATTATTTCACAGTACTTGGAATACGATGCTAACCTTTCCCTTTTTCTAAGCCGTGCTGATACAGGCTTGTCATCATCGCTGCCTGGCTCCATTCTAATAAATCCTATATTCGCAAAAGCTTCTGCCATCCGCTGATAGTAGTGACCCTGCATTTGGAGAGATTTACTAATCTAAAGACCATCACATAACGTAAATGCACCGCACTGATCGACTATTACACTCACTAATACTATACTATATAATGTACTGTACGATATACCATTATATAATTTTTAAAATCATTACCGAAATTTGTGATTCCGTCGCATTATCTCCAAGCTCAGGGAGCGCTTGTTGTTGTCCATCACTGATAGCAGACATTGAATGGTTGCTATTTGCTAATTCCGCAGTACTATGGACTTGCAACGATCCATTGTCGACCACCACTTGAATAGCCTCACGTTCAAAGGGCGTCGAACTAGCTTCAAAATCGCGTGACCCGCTCTCACGCTCAACATCTCGAAGCGTGACATAAACAGTATTCGTTGTTGAATTGTTGTTTGATTCTTCTGCGGTCTTTTGTCCGAGTGATTCGGGAACCACAGAGCGCAGATTGTGCAAGTCGGACTGAGACTCCTGGATGCCTAGTTGTTGAGATAGGATATTAAGTGGTGTCATTTCGTCTGTGAGAGCTTGTTGTTGATTGTCATTCGCTACATTGTCCATATTTGCATGTCCAGAGATGTCAAAGTCTTCTTCGACGTATGCCTCGGAGTACCGATCTGGGTTCTCATCAGTTTGTGTTCGTTTCGCTATTGCTTGGTCGATATCAGCCAATAACTGGCTGTCTTGCGGAGTTGGTAGTTGGTAGCGTAAGTCACCTTGTTGTGTCATTTGGTACAACAAACGATGACTTGTCTATTATTATTTTTAGCGATTGTCGTTCGCAGCTCTTATGTATTGACAGAGGGACAGGAATAAAACACAACTTTAATGAATATCACGTTTTTGAATTGTTTGTATTTTTGATAAAATCGAATGTAATCGTCACAGGTCCTCCAAAACAAAACAAAGTGATGTATCACATGGGTCATGATTGACAAGATGAAATAAATTAGAATACTTGATACTCGAGTTACAGGATACAGTCGCACCTCGATATAGTCACGGCGTCGGGATACGAAAATCGAGCGACTATAACAAGGTATGACTATATCGAATTCCCTTTATATAGTCACCCAATAGGCTGTACGAAGGTATTATTATCAATAATCATGCATTTGTTAATTCACCACAGTAAGATAATTTCTTATTTAACTGCTGCATAATTTTTATTATAAAAACCCCCCGTAATTGAGGGTTGTTTTTTTTTATTTTTCGTATTCTAGTCGATATTGCTTATGTAACTCTTCACACTTTAACACTAGCTAAGTATAAGTATTAGTATGTGGAGCACTGGAATTTGGGAAAGGTCTATTTTTGACTGGTTGATCATATAGATAGTCATGTGATTTCGCGAATACTTTAAGGGTAAAGCATATAACGATAATATGGATAATAACGATAATGTGATATTAATATGTTGGTAATTGAAATGGTGTGACAGTGACTATTAACCTAAATTTCATATAAAATGAATTGATATATTGCAATATTGCAAATGTGACTATATCGAGAGTGACTATATCGAGGTGCAACTGTATTTTAATTCAGAAGATTAATTGTCATTAACGTTAAGTCTGTTAGAGAAATAAGGTTATAATAGTCGATGTACTCGCCCCAACAACTTTGCCCCAACACGACTGGCCAATTGACAAGATGTACTTTCCTGAAAAGCAGTTTTCCATTTGAGTAGCTTTTGTCCAAAATCGGACGCTTCTGCGTGGAACTTGCTTATTGTATTTAGTTCGTTTTGTAACGGTTATATTCCGTTCGTTTATCCCCCAAATCGCCGGCGGGAAAGGCGAAAGTTCAAAAACTTGAGCAGAGTAGGTCTTCCGTATTCTGCCAAAATTCTACACGTTAAGCAAGTTAATAGCCAATGCAATATTTCGTAAAACACTAACGAAACATAGTTTAGTTACCTCGATACTGCACAGCCTTAAGAGATTCGGGAACGAATTTTTTCGCTTTTACTATTACGCGCTTCTCGTTGACCAGGTAAATAAAATAAAAATGAGGGTTAAGACCAAGCTGTGGCGTTCAGCAATTTGAGCCCCTGAAATCTTTTTGTGGCGTCTTGTTCACTTTGTCAGCATATTACAAAGTAAAGGACTAAAAACATCAAACAATGACAGTGTAATCTATAATCTAATTGCTAGTACAAAAAACCTAACCCCTCACCCAATCGACTACTACTCCCTTGTCTTTTATCATCTTCTTCTAATATGCGAACCTCCCATTCACGGCTTACTTATGCCCAAATTTAAACAACCCCTAAGCCCTATTGTCGTTTAGGGGTAGCTTGAAATGAATTGCTTCAAAGAAAACGTCATCATTAACTCCTGCGATCTTAACAGCCAACTTATGTCATGGGAAGAAAGTAATTGTCTATCTTCAAACCAATCCGTTTGTCCGATATAGTGAAGATGTATCGGTTAAAGGAAATACTCGCATGGATCATGATAAAGAAACGCCGCGGCTATCGGCTATGAAATATCCTCCAGCAGAACACAGTCAATAGATTGACAACTTTATTATTGTCGAATATGTCCCCCATGCGACAGCGCTTTGTTAGGTACATGGACGAAGTACTATTTGTATAAGAGATTACACGTGGTATGATAATACATTCTGCACAAGAGCGTACGATCCCTTAATTGTTGGCGTAATAGTAATCACTACATCTCTGAGGAAGTATCTACATGGAGAATCTAAGTTTCATCGTATGCAAGGTTCGAATGTTTAATAATTGGTGGGGTGGGCACTAAAATGTGGTATCGCTGAAATTAGCTTTATAAACCCAGTCTAATCATTACGCACCCGACAGTCACTTGACACGCAGTAGAAGATGCTAGTAAGGTCGTCAAAGAGCTGCAGAACGGAATATTAAAGATTCCAATCAGAGCTCCATTTAAGAATAAACACTTACACAGCTACATGGCGCAGACGTCTTGATCAATCCTACTTTCTACCCGATCTATTCATTCTCTCGTAAAATTACATTCTTTATTATAGATCAGTTTAAGGGAATAAGAGATAATTTGGCGGGAAATAGTTATCAATATATCACCTGAAATATGCATCACACGTCATCGTTCAATCTACCTCGCTGGGTTCAAATAAAATAATTGAGCAATTAAATACGTCTTTATAACATATAAGAGAAATTCTGGTAATTGTTCTCGGTATTCTGCGCAACCCAAAGAACGGCCGAACTAGAAAGGTTCAAGATTGTCAGTATGGATGGTAAAAAAAACGGGTGAAATGTGCGATCACCGAATCACTTGCCTAAGCATAATCGCAATGTTTTGCGTCACTTCGGCAATCCCAAAATAAAATGCAGGCATAGGAATGTCTGGCACTATGTACTTCAGAATCAATACGGTCTAGAAACGTGAAATTTGTTAGTGCATATGGCATTTATATAGGAGGCGTTATCGCAGAATAATACTTGCCAAAGAGCCAGCCAGGCCACCGGCCATACATGCGAAACCAACAAAGAGGAAGAGGCGAGCTTTCCACGCTATCCCTGACCCCGAATAGGTAAAATCATCAGCCGTGAGCCGTGATTTATCGATAGAATTCACACTACGTAAAAGTGTATTATTACGCAAAGTTAGAGTGAGTACAATAAATAATGGCGGTTCCAAAAAGAAATGACAAGAAACAAAGATATAACGTACATTATCATTCCCAGTGTACTAATGATACCACTTATCCAATCCTCCAACTTGATAGATACCGGCGGGTCTTCCATGGTGGCGGCATAGACAACAGCGTCTATAAAGAACCACCAGCCCACTGCGAACTTAGACACATAGAAGAGACCAGATCAGTTGCAAGAAAACATGTACCCAGCCCTTCCAATGTCTGCTATATATACATACTAAAACACCAGAAAAGTAAACCCCTATATCCCGTTTCTTTTCGGTTAGCCTGGGAAATCGTGGAAGTGGAATGAGACAAACACGTCGGTCGTCGTAATCGTCCCAACGTCCGGCCATGTTTACTTATGATAGACGTTGATTTCTGCTACAAAGAGTGTTTGCTTTGTGAACAAAGTGAGATGGACTGGCGGTTGCACCTGTACATAAGATGTTGAGGGGTCAAATCAAATTTTACTTTTACGGAAAATTCATACCTAAATTAGCTAGTTGGATTTGAAAAACTCCCGGGACTACGTGATACAGTGCAATTCTGGAGTAGACGCGAAAACGATCTGACGTTTCCTGATAGTGACGTAATTAATTTTTCCTGATAGTGATGTCTTAGTATTAACAATTTTGTAGATACAAGTGCTTTCTGACTCTTACTGCAACGTTAAGTCCATCCTATTGTCTTTGCTTATCTTGTGTCATGAGTATCGTTGGATCAACTATACAATTTACTAAATTAAGCCACTAGTATTTCCTATAAATTCGAGTCGTCGGCTTTTTGAGTTTCAAAACATCTTATCAAAAAAGTAAAGGCGTAATAATAACTAGTAAAGAAAGATAAAGTTTTTTTATACTTTGACCTTTACACTGAAGGTTTTGTAAATGAAAACTAAATTGCCATTGATAAACCTATTATCAAATAAAGTGTAAAATCTCGTGATAATAATAGGGTACCTTATTGCCGACACGCGTGTTTTCCAAGCACAACGAGAGTCAGTAATGTTTGCCTGCTGTCTTCAGAATAGGAGTATAAAACTTCACCTGTGGAGGAAGCTGAAACTCTTAGTTTGCAGTGATGAACTCTTAGTTCCTTTTCTCTCGGTGGTTTGACGGGGTTGTAGAATAAACTGGGGACTCTTGGTCGACCAGCGTCGAACTCTTAGTTCTGCCCTCCTTGTAAACTCTTAGTTGCAGTGATAAACTCTTAGTATTAGTTCGAGGCGTCCTCCCATTATTTGACTAAAGTTTCAGATGCAGGATACCGCAGAAAAAAATAGAGTTGTTTTACAGGTGAGTGACTGAGGTCTCCAGCCCAGAATTTCAGAACAATAGAAACATAACAAGCAGCATGTTTTGATTTAGATGCAGCAAGATAAAAGGCAATCAAAATTGCTGCATCTCAGATGAGCGTGCTGCAAGAGCAATTAGTCGAGAGCAGTCGAAAGCGTCAGGAAAATAAAGAAAATAAATCACAATCGCGTAAAACGCAGTCGCTACTCTAAAAACAATCTAATCAACTAATGTTAATATATATATTTAGATTATAATTAAATACAAGTGACTCTGGTTATAACGACACTCTCGGACAATGAAAAAAGTGTCGTTGGAGCCAGATGTCATTTTATCTAGCAATGGGTTGAACATCGACATTGCAATATGTATACGAGTAATTCATATCAGTTTATCACATATAAATACTTACGGGTAATTTAAGCCTGCAACAACTTTATTCACAAACAAAAAACAAATCAGTTTTGTTGTTTATAATTCTTTGTATAAGTATGGTATCTAAACTTCGAAGAATAGAATCAGATTAATATAATTATAACAACAGCCGTTTTAAACGGCTCGTACAAACACCATGAAGTATGAGGTGATCAAGGAAATATTCTGGGTTGTACGACTTGTCAGGATGTCGGTTAAATATGTCGTTGAGTCAGTAAACGCAGCTGTCGTTATAACCAGAGTCATTGTAGTTAGTTGGTGAAATAATAAAAAGGTACACAAGCGGAGGTAGTTTCGTTAGCCAACACTATCTTCAGCTTATAGTTGTCATAATAGACGATATATATATTGTCCCTGGCCACGAAGTGATTCTGCAGTCGTAAAACCGCAGGTCCCGGAATCACTGGGTAGAATTGACCTTATCTCCATCAATTATGTTAATTATTGTTAATAAATTTGATGTATTACAATCCTTCATTGAAGTTTACGGACCATCGAAACTAATCCCACCGATTTTGATATCTGCGAAACATACAATTAGCAATCGTGAATCTGTTTGACTAATTAGGAGAATCGTGAATATATTTAAAGCCAAAAATAAGGTCATCAATTGTATTAGCGATTAAGCGTAGAGGTTAGCCAAGCCTCGATTGAAAGAACTAATTCATGGCTCAATTACTAAACACTTTCTCGCGGTAATCGGCTCGACCATCCCTAAAAAAATTTGTTGACTATTATTCTTGTAATCCACTGGCAGTAATTTTTCTTCTTCATTCCTCAATTAAATACTGCAACCAATTACTTATTAATTGAGATTTGTTTGCTTATACTGTATTTATTTAAAAATTCAGTAAAAACTATACTCCCATCAAAGATATCCAACACCCTTTGAATTTTGTGAAGCCAATTGATTGTATTTTTCGAAAAAAAAAAAAAAAAAAATAGTGTATTCCATATCGTTCTAAGGCTACGGTTTGACCGCTTGACGACTTGGGTTGAGTAAGTTGTCTGATACGATGCAATGGAAAGAAAAAAAATAAATTATTTAATTTGTTTAATCCGCCTTGCAACTTTATGCCACTTGTATGTTTGAATTCACAGTTGTTAACGAAACTCTCTCACTCATGAACGAATTTGTGAAGTTATACCAAAACTCTGCTTAAATAATAATTAATTCCACTTCTATACCAAAATAAAAGTTGACCCATTTATACCGTTATGCCACAATGTGATAATTAATATATTTGACTTCATCTTTATTTTATACCGTCAGTTTCCTTTAACAATGCGGCGAGTTGGTTTGCTTTAACGTTGAAGGCCTTCATGCCGTTGTTTTACTATATCAAATATGATTGGAGTTACTGTAAATAATATAAATCACGATAAAGAGTAGGACTAATATATACGACAAAATTATTATCATTATATTTATTATTATCCCACGATCGTATATACTAGTGGTGCTTCAATGTCTTTCATTTCATTTACTCGCAAAAGCGAATATTGTTGACAACAACGATGGCAGCCCATACAATTGAAGCTATGAGACATTCCTACGAGGCGGCGTGGGGTAGGAGAGAGAAAGGGAAAATACGATAATGCTAAATGATTACGAAATCAAAGAGAAGCTATGTTAAACTCATGGAGCCGCTAGCTGTGATAGAGACACGAAGGCATGTCCGGATACTTTTGGCGGAAGATTGATATTCAGTGCAAGAATGGGGAAAGAAAATTTGATGTAGTCATCGGCGAATTGAGATATTCGTCTAAAAGGGATAAATTGATAATGGGTTTTTTATTTATTGTTTATGATTTAATGTTATCTAATGACCTACGTTTTGCAAATCTGTGAATTGGAAATATAGGTCTCGCAATATAATCAAACGGACCGTTGGTTGAGTGATATATTTACTTATTTTACAGGTGTATAAAACAACGAATTTAGTTTTGGTACAATGCGCGGAGGGTTACGGAACCGTTGTTTAATTTGATAAATCAACAATAATATAGTAATCGTAAATACTATCATAATGCAAGAGGATATGTCATCTTCGGAGCGAGAGCAGGAGCAACGATAGCTTATCATTCGTCTAGACACGTGATCAGACAGTCGCAGCCCCAGCACTGACCTTTATAATGGGCGTTACATAGGAGATATAAAAGGCCGCCTTCAAAAATGAGTTACACCTTAATTGAAAGCATCCATAATAATAATACTAGTCAAATTTAGAACACAAACACTCTCACATGTGACCAAACTAACACTAGTAAACATAACTGATTTGCCTTTATATTTATAAAACTGTTTACTATTCAATACTCAATATAGATAAATTGAATCTTTTCAAGATTATGTTTAGTATAGAAAATTCTATAGCTTGTATTTGACAAATGTAATTTATCTTTGCTTACCACTTTTATACAACTCAACCTTTTCTCTTATTTTTTCCTTTACTTCTGACCCATTTTCATAAAAAGTATACACCTTACTTTGTGCTTTACTATATCCCTGTTCAGCTGCCTTTTCATATAACTCAAGTGCCTTTTTAATATTTGCTTCTACCCCAATCCCATTTTCATAATACAGGCCAAGAATATATTGCGCATAAACATTTCCTTCTTCAGCTCTTGACTGACAGAAGTCAGTTACTAAATCAATACCAAATTTTGAACCAGCCATTTTGCTATAATGCTTACTGTTTTCAACTTGCACTGACAAATGTGCTTGTTTTACTGCACTATTATATAACTCATCTGCTTTTTGTTTATCTTTTTCTACTCCAATTCCATTTTCATAACATACAGCAAGCTTAAATTGAGCATTGGCATGCCCTTGTTCAGCTACCATTTTATACCATTCAACTGCTTTTTGTTCATCTTTTTCTACTCCAGTTCCATCTTCATAACATACAGCAAGATTAAATTGAGCAATGGCATGTCCTTGTTCAGTTGCTTTTTTATACCATTCAACTGCTTTTTGTTCATCTTTTTCTACTCCAATTCCATCAGCATAACATAGAGCAAGATTAAATTGAGCATCAGCATATCCTTGTTCAGCAGCTTGCTGATATAATTCAACTGCTTTTTGTTCATTTTTTCCTACTCCAGTTCCACTATAATACCAATTAGCAAGATTAAACTGAGCAATGTCAACTCCTTGTTCAGCTGCTTTTTTGTACCATTCAACTGCTTTCTGTTCATCTTTTTCTACTCCAGTTCCATTTTTGTAACATAGAGCAAGATTAAGTTGAGCACCAGCATCTCCTCGTTTAGCTGCTTTTTTATACAATTCAATAGCTTTTTGTTCATCTTTTTCTACTCCAATTCCATTGGCATAACATAGAGCAAGATTAAATTGAGCATCAGCATGTCCTTGTTCAGCTGCTTTTTTATACCATTCAACTGCTTTTTGTTCATCTTGTTCTACCCCGATTCCATTTTTATAACATAAAGCAAGGTTATATTGAGCTCTTGCATACCCTTGTTCAGCGGCTTGCTGATATAATTCAACTGCTTTTTGTTCATCTCTTTGTACTCCAATTCCATCTTCATAACATAGAGCAAGATTAAATTGAGCTCTTACATCTCCTTGTTCAGCTGCTTTTTTATATTGTTCAACTGCTTTTTGCTCCCCTTTTTCCATTGTAATTGGGATCGAGACGGCAAGAAATGTGTTACATTCGAAGGTATGACAATGTCAGGCCTAAGTTCAATCGGCAATATATTCCTCCGTGATTTCCGCCTGGTAGTACGAACATTTCCGTCTGCGGCACATTGAATTTCTGCGGCTAAATGATCAGCAGAGTAGCACAGTAGTATTAGTGATACAAATCGGCATCGAAAATAGATCTTAGATTGGTGTAACGATGCAGTGTCAAAGTTGTGCTACTAGAGTGTGCCAAAATTCTGCGTAGCTGATCCGACCCCGTTATATCGAAATCCAGTGTCAAAATTAGTGGAACGATAGAAGATATATGAGCAGCGATAGTTTTCCGCTCTGAACATCATCTTCAGTACTTCGGAATCATTTAGTTCTCATAATTGTCCTTTTAGAATAGTTCTTTACGTTCTAATAAACAAATCATTGAAATATAATTTATCGGTTAGCTTCCTGATCTTTATTCCCTATTCGATCAGCGGTTAATAAGTTTGGTCTTGCCACTAAACTTATCGTGAACTTAGGCATCAGGATTCTATTTAATTGCACGTTAAAGCGCGCTCTTATTTATAAACTTTCCCATTGATAGATTTTCGTTAAATAATCCCTAGCGAATCATAATCATTGTTTACTCGGAGGTTAAATAGAATCCAGAGAAGGCGTATACAGATAGTCGGATACTATATCCGTGAGTATTGATAAATCTTATTTAAGTCACTAATTGGTTAGAGGTTTAGCGATAGTAGGAACGAGCCTAAGAGTTCCGCCGGAAGACGACTAAATCCCAAGGTCGTTACACGAACGCATAAAAAAATCAGCAGACACGCAGTAATTACATGTGTGTCAATGTAATGTTTCTATGATCAGTAGTGAAATACAGTAATAATCCATCGTCAACGGATAACGTATTCCTCAAAATATTCTGCCGCAACTGACATATTCCTGATGTGAATGAAGATTGTTGTAACGGCAGTGTAAACGCTACTAGCTTTAGCAGTTTTATTAGTTGTCATAAAGATCTTACGTTATATAATAGTTTTTATACAAACGTTTCGACCATTATCTCACTTTTGTGCATTTTAGAATATAGCTAGTGAAGCAATGAAAATGTATATAAGAAGTGTAGTTTCGCTAGCTAACATCATCCATCTCAGACGGATCGATCAATATCTTCGTTCAGCTCAAAACTCTTGTATCATCCTTAGATAATTCTTCGAAATTATTTTTCCTTAGTATTGACGTGCAGACCACAGATTCCGCTCCTAAGAGGGACTTTGATCTTGTCCATTGAATGCCAAATTGGCATCAATACAACTATCGAAATTAATCCCATCAAGGAGAGGCATTCACACTGCAGTTTAACCAATAGTCGAGAATCTGCGTATTACAAGACCGAACGTAAGAGTCGTGAGTATATAAACCCAATTGAGGTTATTAAATTTAGCGGAGTAGAGGTTGAAGAAGTTAAAAATTGCCAATCTGGGGAAAGCATGGCCATTATTGTAGTTTGAATACATTCTGATTTTAGTCAGGACATAGCCATATCTAAATTTAGATAATATTAAATGTGAGCATAGTAGCAACAGTTCAGGAGAGTTTTATAAGTAATAGTAAAGCTAATATTAGAAACCCATTAGTCATTTTCTTTCACTTAGTTGTAAACAAAAAGAATTCCCATCTGCCAGAAATGTACAACTTGACATTGTAATTGTTCGTTTTTGGAAAGTAGCAATTCGAAGATAGTAATAAGGTGGGCAATTGTGCTAATGCTAAGTCAATGCTATTATGAAGAATTTTGAACAATTTTGACAGTGTTGAGTTTATTTGGCCACACTGTATAATGGGATAATGGTGATCTGTTAATCTGTATCAACTTCTTATAATTTTTTTACTATTTATTGGCTTCAACAATTTGCAATATTCCATCTTTCTAAAATCAATATTTTGCACTAACCTTCTATTATCTTTTCTGGTAAGTTTTCTGGAATTCTATATGACCACTTTATGAAGGGCCAGCCATCTTGTTTGTTGTCTTGTTCTCTTGGATTGGCTACGCCTCTTCAACTGGAGCTCATCATCTGTTAAAGAGGAAGCTAATACTAACTTGATAACACAGATTAAGAAAAAAATATCAGCCAAACTAAGATTGGGGACATTATTAAACATTGAGCTATGTATTCTTACCATCGTCAATGGCTTTCCTCTTTCCAGGTGTATCAACTGAGCATATGTGAGAACATACATGTAGAGTGGAGAAAAACCAAGGCACAAGTTAATTGTCTAGATATTAATAATATTTATACTAATAAATTACTACGATCGGCAGTGAAATTAATTAAATTTATTGTCTACTGGACTCAGCGGCTGAGAACGCCTTAAATAGACGCGTCGAATATTTTATCGCCCTTTTATAATCAATACGCTCTTCGACTAAGGATTATTATTAGTTGTTGTTCTAATAATAGTTCTATTCTTGTGCGTCGTTGTTGCTGTACGGAAGTGTCTATTACTATCGCCGGCAGACCAGCTTACGGAAGTTAGATTAATATCTAGCTATGGTTAAGCGGACGCTGGAGTATCAGACCATACAGGAGAAAACAGTTCGATTATCGGTGCAATATTATTTATAAAGAGCCGCCTGCAAATTTTAGCTACGCCTTAATTGACACGAGCGTGTAAGCAATACCACGTTTAAAGCTAAATTTTGAGAATATCCCCCGGTCAAATTGAACGCAAATGCTCTCCCAGGTGACCAAACATAACATCTTTCTCCTCTCCTCCTCCCACACCTACTCCCAATAACAGCTTTCTCCTCAAAGCCTCCATGAACTCCTTCAATTCATGCTCAGCCTTCCTCGATGCTTCTCTCACTTCTTCAGTTGTGTTCAACTAGGACGTGTTTATTATATATTATTATTGAAAAATGTTGTATATCTCCATGGTACAGCAGACGTCGGGAAAGGGGCGAGTTGCTACATGTTTTTGTGAACCGTGCATAGTCATATAATCTTATATAGATTAATAATAAAAAATAACGTGTTAATTATAATCACGTTGATGCGATGGTCACAACACGTCGTACTAGTACGTCCCCCAGTTATGGTTAGAACCGAAATGACATGATGAGTTTATATTGTTCATCATCTACGCCTGCCTCGGCAAACACTATGATGACCATAGAAGAATGTGAAGGCTGTGTTGGCAAATTTGAGCAAGGAATATGAAAGAAACAAATAACATAACCATTATTATCATATTGAAATAGAAAGACTCTTGATTACAATATTAATATGGACTCCAAGCTGAAAAATTTTAATCATCAAACAAAAGCAATTCAGATGGATCTATTTCCTCTATCATTTCACCTTGCTGTCTAAATTCTATTTGTACAAATTCATTTTGTTGTACTAGTTGCTTTGGCTGTACTAGTTGATAATGTACTGATTCATATCCTTGTCCTTGTCTACTTGCTTGTACTAATTCATTTTGCTGTATCAGCTCATTCAGCTTTGATATTCCGTTTGGCTGTATTAGCTCACATTCTTGTGCCAGAATTCTTTGATGTGTTAATTCATTTCTCTGTAATGACTCTCTTTCATGTGATAGCTCATTTTCTTCAAATACATTATTTTCCTGCAACAGTTCCATTCCCTGAAAATCCTGAGATATTTCCATTGCCTGAAGCTCCTGAGATAGTTCCCTTTCCAAAATTGGCCTCTTTTCATTTGATGGTTTTCTTTCTTTAGATAATTGTATTTTCCGAGGAAGTTTCCTTTCCAGGGGCCGTTCTCTCTTTTGACTTAATTCCCTCTGTTGAGCAAGATGTCTTTCCCAAAGCATTTCTCTCTGGAGTATCTCACGTTCTCTAGGTACAAATCGCAAGGCTTCTCCATCATACCTGCATATATACAAGTGTGTGAGCCACTCAATAACTAATGCTATAACTGTCTTTGTTACTTGGGTTTGTACATACGCATAATCAAAAAATAACTCTTCTCCGGGAATTAAATCAACCTTTGCATATATGCCAATTCGGTGTTCACTATTGACCAGCATCACTAAAAATCAAGTATTAATAAGCCATTGAGAAACTCGTTCCTTATCAGAGTTCTAATTGCACCTGAATATCCGACTCACCGCGAGCGAAACAGTTTGGTTCGTTTGAATGATTGATAAAGCGAAACTTATTTCCTTTACGTGTTGCATCAACAACGTATTCTAATTACATTAGATGAACCATTGTTAGCAGCACACTATTTTTGAAACACTTGGTGAATATATACAACCTTTGTTAAGATTAAACAAGAAACTTATGCCGCGTTTATCATACACCTTTCCACGACGGTCAGCTTCAGCCTGTGTGATGACCTTGAATTGAAATACTATAATAGTTAATCAACAATAACATTAATATAAGGTAGAAAAGTTTTCAATTACCTCGCCCTTATACTCTCCCAAAAAGTCATTCTTCTTGGCATGTTCTCTAAGAAACAGGCCCCAACCAGCTACTGTAGAAATGCCAATAATAGTGTGCTAAAAATTTAACCATATTAGCTGCATTGTGTGAATAGATAAAAATGTGCTTAGACACAAACGCTGTGAATTTACCATATAATATGAGTGATGAAATCAGTACAAACCTTGGCTTTCCCTCGTTGAAGTGCCATGTTTTTGCATGGTCTTCGGTCAAAGTGAAAACCTGTCGTGGTTTCTTTTACCGAAAAAAAAAAGGCATCGTAAGATAAACTTGCATTGTGTATTGAAAGATGCACCATATAGTTGGCTCACCACATGTTAGACAACCACAAACATCAGGATCGCATTCTCGGTAGTTTGCATAACATACACATCCACGATTGCTGCAGACTTTCTCAGCACAATGGCACCCAGGAAATCTTCGCGGACCTTTTGAGAAAAAAAGAACTTGATCAGTCAAATCGTTTGAGATGCAAACCCTTTTATTAAAATACTACGTACAGTCAGCATCACACTGGCAGTATTTTTCGCAGTATCTATTTCCCTTTTTGCAAGGGCAATTCATATCACAGGTTCGTCCAGGGTGATAACAAGGTCGATACTCAGAGTGGTTCTCGGCATTTATTTCTGATACCCCGAGAAGAAGAAAAAAAGGTAATTATTATATAATCTCACTAGACATCAGATTATAAACAACGAAACTAACCTATTTTGCTAACGCCCCTTTTGATTTTTCGTCCTTTAGACTCGTCTGAAGATGAGGGGGCCGAATCATCTATCATCATTTCATCAGGCAACGAATAAGCTTGAACTCTGACATATACCTAAATCGACATGATCGTTAGAAACGTATCAAAGACCTTGTCTATACGGTCCATCACTTACTTGAGCACAAGTCTTGGTTCTTATGATTGTAGCCAACACACAATAGTTGTTTCCAAGAATGTCCATAGCAGTCTTACAGAGATCATTTTCAAGAAGGTTCCACTCGTTCAGACGGGGTTTAGTGTCAAACGTGGCATTCATATAACAAGACGGACCGCAAGACTGTGCAGTAGGTCTTACGCGCGGTCGCTTTTTGTTAAGGAATGGCTGGTACTTTCCACCTATAGTAACATTATGTGGGTTTGAGTTATTTACAGGGGACAAAGCAGAGTTATACTAAACAAACACACCAACCATGAAGCTTGCAGTCATATACATAACATAATCGACACCACAATTTACTAAGTGGTGCTAACAGCCGGTGATGGCCCACAGAATCTGTTTGACTAGTAGAGCTTTGTGTATGAATTAGTCGACTGCATGTATGTGTGAACGAACCTATTTGAACAATTTTCTACAACAGAATCATTTAACCTACTTGTTCGTATCAACCCTCATTATTCTATTAATGCCAGTTCCCCCAATCCTATATGCATTTTCCAGATACCTTTATAATTATATTTGTATATTGTCAGAAAGATGTTAATGCACTCGCTCAGTTCAATCATATAATTCATACCATTTGACAAGAGATATAGAGCCTTTTCTTTTGAAGAAGCTTGCAAACTCTGTTATAACTTGATCGACAGTGGACATGTCTGAGTGATGAGTAACGTTCCTTTCATTTGGCGTTGATTTTATTACTTTGTACTTTCTCGACCCGTTCACTTTTTTAACGAGGGCAGATACCCCAATGCGATGGCTGTCGAATACATTCTTCATGGTCCTTAAACGAATCTTGTCCGCTAGATTATCGTCAAGTTAATAAGCTCGTATGACGGTAACCAGTCTGTATCTTTCGTTTTCAGGCTTACCGTCTACATTGCGGGCTTTCCGGCCTACCATGATATTCTCATAAACATCAGTGTAATTAACGCCGTCCTCCGAATCGGATTCTTCGCCGAAATACGACACATGCCTAAGAACTGGATCGTCTGGAGTCTACAGTGAGATTAGTACGTCTAGCCACGTCAACTACTAGCAATCTTTCAATACACAATACCTTGAAATTACGTCTTATCGGAGTCCATAGCGTGTATAGCGGTAATCCCTTTACTTCGGGTATGACTACACACGAGTACGTATCTACCATGTTATCTTCAAGAATTCCACAAGAAGAATAACTCTGTGAAGGTAATTCGAGTAATAACACGTTAACACGTTAATTTTAATTCAATATAAAATGAGATACTTTACCCGAAGCTGTATTTTGCATTCCGGTTTTCGATCTTTTTTAGCGCTTGATTTATTTGAAGTTTCAGTCGTCGCTACTGTGGGATACGGTTCGACTGCAAGCCTTAACGGCACACTATCATATGTGTCACTTGCATCAAGCAACGTGTACAAACGTTCGTAATTATGTTGTATACAGGCCTATATTTTAGGTAAGAAACGTAAGGATGAGGACTTGGTTTTGTGAGAGAAAGATTTTGTCAAAACCTACGAGCACCTTGGTCTCTGCTTTTTTGATAGTATAGTGTTCATTACGAGATTTCTCAAGAGCCGACTTGATTTCTTCGCGTAAAACAGAGTCTTCCGACTCGACACGCTTCATGTTGTGCACTTATGAGCTGGACAACAAGGTTCGAAACTCAAAACTTGACGCGATATTAGAGGAGGATAATATGGGTACGTTGCAATCCAGACAGTGAACACAAACTTTCAGGGGTTCAAACTGCATTAAATAGGTTGACTAATTGGCTGGAAGAAAGTTAAAAAGCGAAATTGATTTAAAGTGTCCTCTGTTTTCAACAATTCAATAAATGCAAGCACAAATTCAAAGAAGTTAATATCTGATATTTTATTTCTCTTTGCAAATCACTCGCGTCTTATTTTGGTCAAACGGGAAATTTAAACTACCAATAGTTTTTGAATACGCAGTATTTCCCAGCTTTGTGATTAGTCCTAACGTTCAATGCCTTGCGAGCATAGTCTGTGTTTGCATGTTTTATGCGCGTCGGCTCCATATAAGATTGCATGTTTTATGCGTGTTTTCGGTTCCGCCATTCAAATGCCGACAACCATCCATAAACATATTTAAAGACATTAACCATTGCAATATTTGCTCATTTGAAAATCCAAATCATAAACACATAATCTCTCCCTCAATGCTAACACCACCACCAAAAAAGGGTTCAAACAAAAGGAGGTCCTCAGCTCCCCACCAACCTACGGACAGATCACAGGACACGAAGTCAATTGAAACGCAGGGCCCTTTTGGAACTAAAGGAGTCGAAGAAGTGGTGGTTACCCGAAAAGACCGCTTGTGACGCTTTGGATCCGAACTTGTGGAGCGGCGGATCTTTGAAAAAAATGGGACACGGCTCGTGGCCCTACTCGCAATCGTCACAGCGTTTGTGGCGACTACGTTCGGCCGCAAATCGCAGAAGGAGAAGAGAAGCCGCCCAAGAGGTTCAAGAAGGAAGTGAAGAAACCTTCAGCAGGCAAGGTCCGACGTATCCGCATTTATCCCAACCAGCAGGAGCGGCTGAAACTCAGTAAATGGATGGGAACAGCATGATGGACATACAATCGGTGCCTTACCGTGGTTGAAAAAGAAAGCATCAAACGAGCAAAGAAGGATCTATGCGCACGATGTCTCAATGCCACAAACTTTAATGATACTAAACTCGCATGGGTCCTTGAAATACCCTATGACATTCGCGATGAAGCAATGAACGACTTGCTTAAAGGATATTCCTCCAGTTTTGCTGCTAATCATAAAAAATTCAAAATGAAGCTTTGTTCCAAAAAGGATCCATTGCGATACTTTCTAAACACTGGGGCAAGTCTCGTGGGGAATATTCCTTTCTTTCTAAAATCAAGTCGGCAGAGCCTCTCCCATATTGAATATGATAGCCGCCTTGTCATGAATCGACTTGGGGAATGCTATCTTTGTATACCCGGACCACTTGAAATACGGGCTGAAAACCAAGGCCCTATATCTCAAAAGGTAATTGATCTAATTTTTTTATTATATTATATATTTAATAATTTAATAGGTGGGATCTGGGTGTACGTACATTTATGACAGGTTATGATCCAGGTGGAGTAGCTGTTGAGTGGGGCAAAAATGACATTGGCCGAATTTATCGATTGAGCCATGCATGCGACAAGCTTCAAAGTAAAC